AAAAAAAAAAAAAAAAAAGAAAAGAAAAGATCAAAAATTTCTATCAAAAAATTTTGGTTGCTGTGAATGAAAGTAATTTGTTTGTTGCTTTTTTCTTTTGTTTATATTTATAATTTGTTTTTTTTTTTTCTTCTTAACTTTGGCTCAATTCTAATCTTTGTATTTTTTTTTTTCTTATAACTATAATAAATTTGAGAAGATGTGTGATCGTCATCGTCGTCATCATCACCGGTCATCAAATAAAAAAAATAACCGACAAATGCCAGTGGTAAAAAATTGCAGATATTCTACTGATAAAAGCGGAAAATTGCATCCGATACTGCTTGAACTGTAAAAAATAATTATTTTTTTGAACCGTCATTTATGAAGTAAAAGAAAACAACGTTTTCAAAAGAAAAAGTAATTTAAGTTTATGACTTGAATATGCTTTGAAAGTTGCATTTTTTCCTTTTTTAGCTTTATTGATTTAGCTACTATTAGGTAAATATAGGTAATCGAAAATGCAATTAAGATTAACTGATATAATCTTTTCAAAAAAAAAAAAAAAGAAGTTGCTAAGAAACCGAAAAGAAGTAACAGCAAAAAACAACAACAAAAACAACAAAAAATTTGTAGCATATAATCATTTTACAACAATTTGATCGACAATGATTTATCACTGTTTTAAATAACGGCTTATTTTTATGTTTTTCTTTTTTCTAATCTAACTGATAACATATTTTGCTTCCAACAATCTTTGGCTTTACAAAATACACGCTTTATAACAACACTATCATTTAAGATTTTAAAACCAATTCTATTAGCCATCACTTTTTTATGAAAAAAAAAAAGACAGCAGTTTTACTTTATTCTGATTTTTTCATTATTCAACTTATACAGTTTACATAGCAAAAAATTCTACAAAAAATAAAGTTTTTTTTTGGTTTTTTTCATAATTTTCTTACTGTTTGTTATTTCTCACTAACTTATCGCTAATAACGCTGCTTAAGTTTCATTGTGCACGAAACCGTTACAGATTCATTTGTTTCAAATGCATGAATGATCCCAGAGCTTGTTAACAGATCGTAGAAATCTGTGAAATTCTTCCACATTGTTAAGTAACAGCAGAAGAACGACAAAACGTGGCTGAACGTTACTGTACAAATACGGTAAAGCGCAAAAATACAGACCTTGATGTTAACAACTGTCAATCTTGACAATGATCAAGAGCTTAGTTTTTGCTCAATATGCTTCTAGTGTAGATGTCAAAGAAATAATTATGTACTTATGTGAACGTTAGAAAAGAGGAAAAAATAGAAACAACTAAACTTAGACTAATCAGGTAAACAAATAGAACGACTTACGTATATCTAATTATTGGCACTGCAGCCGCTGTTGAAAAAGCAGAATAGACAATCAAGCAATTGTCATTTTTAGCTGTTTTTTTGAGTCTTAATTATTCAACTTCTGTCTGCCATATATCCGTGTTCGTTTTTCACATTCAACAATTTTTTACACCATATGTTCACTGAGAAAACAATATAATTATCTACGTTGTCATCAGAATTTTCATGACCATTATTACCACTGCTATTGTCGTGGTAGCGGTCATCGGTGCCGTCGTTATCCCCGCAGTAGTCCCCAAAACTCACCACAATCAGTGTTTCACACGTGTCACTCTTTCGTGCCGCAACGTCACCAGGAAATTAGTGCTTAATTCATATCTTTTATTTGTTCTATTTCCTTTAAATCTTAATTTCTCTATTAACAAATATATAAAATTGTATAAGTAAATAGGTAAATAGTACATATAATAAATAAATAGTTGAATAATTTTTTTATTTTTTTTATTTGTTCTACAACCTCGTTTAAAATTTTAAAATTTATTATTTTTTTTCGAGATTAATGTGTAATCAGTAACGGTTAAGCTACTCACTTTTGTACTGTACTGTTTTCCACATAAGTAAATTTTTTTCACAGCAAACAGATGCACAAACAAACACATCCTGTAAATATCAAACAGCTTTTTATTTGAAAATAAGATTCAATTTTTTATTTTAAAAGATGTAATTAGACGTATAAGCTAAGTGAAGCGAGTAGAAATGGTTTCAATTTGAGGCTAATCCACTCAAACAGCAAAAGCACCACCACCACCGCTAACAACGACTACAACATCAACAACAACAACGAGACAGAGGGGAATTAAGCTGACGGATTGTTATGGGCGGCATTCAAGCAATCGGCACTAAGGCTGCAGGAAGACTAACAACACAGAACAGCCAGGCTAGTTGTTAGTTTTTGGTGCAGAAGAAGTAGAAGAAGAAAGCTAAATGAAGCTGAAGGCACAGACACCATATGT